TCAATTCAGCCCCCAGTGACCCCACTTCTCATGGGGGAGGTCCTTCTGAGTATATGTTTCTCTTATTAGTTAATGAATAAAACACTGATTGGCTGATTTGCCAGGCAGGAAGTGACATAGCAGGGCAGAATCAGGATATGAGCAGGGACAAACAGGAAATCACTCTCTTCTCTGCAGAGATGCTTAACAGTCACAATGTGAGCTGCCGAAAGAGTTAGAGATCTGGGCCCTTCTCCAGTAAGATAAGACCATATGGAAATACTTAGAAATGGGTTAGTAATTAAGACAGAGCTAGCAAATAAGAAGCCCTAGTCACCAGCCAACAGAATTATAATTAATATAAGTCTCTGAGTGTTCATTTGGTGCAAAGCGGTTGCAGAGCTGGTCAGAAAACGTATGCTACACACTTCCCCACTTTGGCTGGCAGTGCTATCTCAGAAGGTTGTGGATCTCTTAGGAGGTGGGGTTTTGCTGGAGAAAGTGAGTCACTGGGGCCTAAAAATCCATGGGACTTTGCAACCTCATAACCCCAAAGTTCTATGCCAGTGGATGACCAAGATGTATCTCATAAGGGACTTATTGGTGGAGGACCTCAGCAGACATAAACCAGATATTGGAAGTTGATGAAAACACAGGGGTCAGAGGATTGGTGCAAATCTGAGAGATGGAGTTGTGTGCAAGCATACCTCAGCTGGTAGAGTCATTCTACTGATTTTTGGTCAAACACTATTCTGGATGTTTCTGTGAGGTAGATTTTTGGGCGATGTTGTGGGTTTCATTGTTTGTTTTATTTTGTTTTGGTGTATATGTATGTGGTATGGCTGTATGTCCATATCCAGGTTCACATGTCCATGTGTGTATGTGTGTGCATGTGTGCGTGTGTGTATGTATGCATGTAGAGACTACACGTTGATATCAGGTCTTTCGTCCCTTTATCTTACATCTCTCAGCTGAACTCAGAGCTGGCCATTTTGGCTAGTCTTAGCTAGCTAGCTCGCTATGGGGATCCCTGTCTCTGCTTTCCAAACACTGACATTGTAGGTGAGTCATCCCTCCTGACATTTACATAGGTTTTGGGAATCGGAACTTCTAGTCCTCACATTTATATAGCAGGCGCTTTACTCCCTGTGGGTTCTCCCAGCCCTCACTGGGGTTTGAATGTGGAATCTCCCCAGAGGCTCATCTGTTTCAAGATGCTGGAGCCTGGAGATAACCTAAAGGAGGCTGCGGGGGTATGTGCGGCAGAGTTGGAGAGGACTCAGGAAGCAAAGGGCATAAGGAACAAGACAAGGTGGCGTGAAGGCATTGCATGTGGGTATCCTTCAGGCTCAGGACTGCAGTTCCCAAAACTACTCTCCCACCATCTCCGGAAGCAGAAGCCACCGTTGTGTAGGAACCCCTAGCACAAATCCTCTTTATGGAGACAGGACTGTGTTCCTTTCTCCCTGGGGCTCACGGCCTGACGGTTCCCGTTCTCTTTTGTGCATGTGGGTGACTGCAGTGTCCTTCCCATCTGCCACTGGTTGCATTTCCTTTGGGAATCAACACTCACACACTTAGTGAATTAGACCTTTCTCTCTAAAGGATGGCAGTGTCCTGCCATGATGCCAACCTGTGCTTCCTCCCGGAGAGGAAGAGGTTCTTAGGTCCTGCATTGGAGTGGCCCTCCCAAGGACTCGAGGACTGCAGGAGACTTTCTGGCAACTACAATGCTGACCCTTTGACCCCCTTTAAGCTTTGAGCTGTGCCAGGTCTTAGAATGAACTGTAGTCTACCCCTGACTGTAACTGGCCCCTCTGAGGAGGGGGAGGGCTCCTGAGAGAGTGCCTACACTGAACGAGAGTGGATGCTGCCTTATTCCAGTGAACTTGGCTTAGTGTCTGGGGCCCTGTAGGGTCCTTCACCCAGTGGCTCTCTAGTGGGATGTACATTATTAAGCAATGAGTTATGCATGATTAATTATGACCAATTTGACCTCTTCCTTCCCCCAGGTACTCAATCTAAATATTTACCAAGAATTCTGATCTAAGGCTCATTATCCAAATGAATAGCATTTCTTCTTCTTAAAAAGTAAGATGGTTTTCATCCAAAATCAGCTCTTATTTGCAGTTCAATCAGCGTGTGATGCAGCCACACATTTCCAATGCTTGGAATGACAGGCAAACTGCCGGTCACCAATAGAGACTGCCGGTTACCAATAGAGACTGCCGGTCACCAATAGAGACTGCCGGTCACCAATAGAGACTGCCGGTCACCAATAGAGAAGGGCACCTCTGGAGGCTCCCTGAGCCTCTGAGCATGCTGGTTCCCTGTGCCACACCCACGGCAGCTCGTGTGTGCGCACCCTCGGTGGAGGCTCTGACCATCCCATGTGTGTGAACTTGAGTGTGTGGAGGCACTCTCCCACTGGGAACGGGGCTCCCTGTGTAGTCTGGGAATGTCCAAGTGCTGGGTCTCAGTGCTGGAAGACTTTTCTTTCTGAGACAGAGATCCAAGTCTGACCTTCCTTTGCTCATGGAACCCTAAAAAGCTCAGGTGTGGAGTCAAATCCTCCTCTGTGGAAGCTGGGCTCTAGGGAGTCATTATGTTTTAGGTCAGGTGCAGTAACTCCTTCCCCTGTGCCCGGAGTGTACCCAGCATGCATTTGTAGCATGGTTCAGCTAAGAGGAGCCAGCTAGATTTGGTTCTGGGGATGCATGAAATGGCTGCCCCGAAAACCAGAGAAGACATCCACTTGTTGTCATTTTATTCTAGTGCTGCCATGGATACACTGTTGTGGCTTTGCTACTCCAGGAGGAGGTGGTGGTGGGGTTGCACATGAGGGCTGATCAGGAGCCAGGGATGGAGAAAAGGCCAATGTCCTTTAGAACTTTGTTGAGTTGCTCTCTGATTAATCCTGGGACTGGACTCCCCTCCCAGTACAGCCCCGCCTATTCTATAGCTACATATGGAAGAGGCTCTCCATCCTACCTCCTGATTCCTAGGTCTGGGCCGCCCCTGCCTCACAATCCCCTACAGCCCTACCCCACTGGTGGGTGATGCTTGTTTGTGGGGCCAGTTCTTTTATTCATCCTATTATCTGTCTGTCTGTCTGTCTATCAATCATTTATCATAATCATCATTATCTATCTATCATCTATCATAATCATCATTATCATCATTTTCTATATATCATAAAATCATTATCATCATTATCTCTCTATCATCTATCATAATCATCATTATTATAATTATCTAACTATCTATCTATCAATCATCTATCATCATTATTTATCTATCATCTATCTACTATCTATCTATATACTATCTATCTTCTTCATCATCATCATCAATCCATCTTCATCATCATCATCTATCTATAACCTATCTATCTATCTATCTATCTATCTATCTATCTATCTATCTATCTATCATCTGCCTGTCTGTCTATTTATGTAGCAGTTTACTTTCATGGGTTCATGCATGTGCGTCTGCATGAGCACATGTGCACTGCATGCACACACCAGAAGAGGACATCAGATCCTCTGGGACCAGAGTTACAGATGGTTGTTAGTCATTGTATGACTGCTGGGACCCAAATATGGGTCTTCTGGAAGAACGGTAAGCACTCTTAATTTCTGTGGCATCTCTCCAGCCGCCACCCCCCCCCCTCTCTCTCTCTCTCTCTCTCTCTCTCTCTCTTTCTCTCTCTCTCTCTCTCTCTCTCCTGCAGAGGTCAGCAGATTTCTGGTACAACTAGTCCCTGGGATTCTGAAACTGAGAGGATGGAAACCTCCTGTCCAACATCCTCCTGCTGATAGGCTCCAAGATCACACAAACCCTGGCAGTCAGGGCAGTTCCTACACAGAACATGGCAAATTCTAGAGACATACTTGGTTTTCAAGATCTGGAAATGCCACTGCCATTTGGTAGGCAGGAGCCTGGAGCCCATTTAGAAGAGCCACAGTACCAGGACAGTCTTACAACCTAGATCTGTCAGAGGAAAATCACCAGTGAGGAGCCAGCTTGATTCTGGCCAAAGGGGCATGGAGAACATTGTCCATATGACACTGTGACGTTAAGGGGTGAGCAAGAAGGAGCGGAGTGGCAGACAAATGCCTCCATAAGGACCAGAAACCACTCTCTCCTGAACATTGCCCTACTCAGACCTGATAACCTTAGTGCTCACCCCAAAGCAGACCATGGAGAAGCCCCCAGAAGACCCGAGATGCACATAGAACTGGAGCCATCATCATGAATCTCTGAACAGATGCTTGCACCAGATAACCCTGAATGAGCTGCTCTAAGCAGGTTGTTATTAGAAACAAACAGTTTAGTTCAATGCCACCCATTCTGTGTACTCATCATTGGTGTGTGGACCGTGGTCATGTAGGAGGCTCCACTGCCAGCATATGCTATCACACTCTGCACGTTGATTTCCCCAGGAGCTGGCTTTGCGCTGAACTGAATGTCATTTGCCTGACCCAACCCCTCTCCCTCAGCAACCCTGCGGTCTGTGTTTCTCTCTTCTTGCTGCTCCATTGTGATCCCCAAATCTATGGTGGTGCTTTCTCTGTATGTGGCTGACTCCCTATGGATTACTCACTCACTATGGGGTCCTGGAAACTGTGGGGTAGCAGGAGATTTCCCAAGAAATGGACCGGGGGGATGAGCATGAGAAAGTTTGATCCCTGGTGGCCAGGTCCACGCGCTGAGGCCCAAGGGCCTTATACTTGGTGGGTAGAATTCAAGGCTATGAGTCAAGGGGTGTGTTGAGGTGGATTTAGAGTAACAGTCACCCAGAAGTGAGTAAGGGTCAGGCGGCTGCTGAACATATGTGTATCTGTTTACAGTTTCCCTTTGTGAACCAAGTCTGGCAGGTGACTATTGCCGAGATTCTTGTCCCACTAGGTCCCGCTGCCTTTCAGTCCCCAAATAAGCACACAAAGACTTATATTAATTATTAAGCTGTTGGCTGATGACTAGGCCTTCATATTGGCTAGCTCTGTCTTAATTATTAACCCATTTCTATTAATCTATGTATTCCCACATGGGCTTGGCTTACCAGAGAATGCCTGGACCTGCTACTCCATTGTGATCTACATGGCAACTGTTTCTGACAGGCTCTCCTGACTACCTTTCCCAAAATTCTCCTCGTCTCCTAGTCCCACTTATCTTCCTGCCTCAATGGTCAGAGACCAAACAGTGTTTTATCCAACAACCAGTAAGAGAAACATACATACAGAAGGACATCCCCCATCAGGTGACAGGTCTGGTTGGTTTGATAGGCAGGACCTGGCAGGACTCTCAGATGAAGGTAGCCTTGTTCCTGCTTGAAGGTACTTCTCTTATTTCTTATTTATTAGCACATAAGAACTAAGTATTTATTCCAGCTGTTATAGGGTCTATTCCTGGCAGGTGCTCATGCTGCGCTTTCAGGAAGTCAGACACCACATGTGCCAATGAGTCATAAGCTCAATGGCTCCAGACTCAGTGCTTTCTGTCCACCCTGTCTGTTCTTGGTCTCTCATAGGGGAGTTCAGCAGACACCAGAGACTTATAAACAAGGATGGAGTGGTCGCGTGGGTCTCTGGCAGTTCCCATGTCTGAAGGTCCTCTTCATGAAGGTGTGTGGAAAAGTCTTAATCAGACTTAAGCCCGAGGGCACCTAGCTATGTCTGCTCAAGTCATACCATGGGAAATTACAGCCAAACTTAGGATGGAATGACAAGTCAGAACCCTTTCTTGTTTGGAGGGAGACTGGTATTGGGTGGTCCTCCTCCTCTTTCTCCCTCTGAAGGTCTGGTTTTGATGGGCCATGTCAGAAACTTTAAGTGGTGCCCATGGCCATAGAGGAGATCTCGGGGCTTTGTCTCAAGGTTTGAAGGCAGAACTCAGACTGGATGAGTAGTGAGTGTTTTGTGGGGATCTAGGAAGACAACAGTCATATGCTTACAAATTATTCTGTTTTAAAACGAACGGTGGAAGCTAGGTGTGCTGGTGTGCCTATATAGTCCTTCCATCCGGGAAGTTGAAACAGGAGGAATACTACGAATTCAAGACCAGCCTGTGCCATAGAGTGAGACCCTGTTTCAAGACCAATAAATAACTTTAAAAACAGACAAAATGTAAAACAACGGAGCACTGGGTTTTTAATGGATGCTGTAGGGCAGATGAGAAAGGAGTAACCTCTTGGTCATACCCAGAAGGCCCTGTTGTCTCATGTCGATCATGTTCTCCGGAGTCCTTGTCTAGCAGGGCAGAGGGCGGAGGGCAGAGGGCAGAGGAGTGCACTGTGACCTGCTGCCTCCGGGTCTCCTGACCACTGTACAGCCACTGCCCTTGCTTTGAACGATGCCGGGGTGGCCATCTTGATGGTTGAAGAGCCCCAACCTTACCGGTTTGGAGTCCTGTGATCATCACATGCTGGCAGGTGATTTCAGCAGTCACATTGCCATGCTGCCCTGGTATTCCTAGGAAATTTCCACCGCTTCTCTATGAGGACACAGCATGTGTTCTGTTGCCAGGACCAGTGAACGCTCCTAAAGGCAGTGCACTCTGTCCCCAAGTGTGGCTCTGCAGGGGCCTTTTGACCTGCAGGTCTCAATGGGGAATGAGAAGACAGAGCCCTGGGCATCATGCTCAGGATGGCTTCGGGGGCTGCAAGCGGGTCGGTAGATGCTAGTTCCCCGCTGCTTACCTCGTACTCCTGTGTTCCTCACCAACACAGGGGATGGGCGTGGCAGTTCTCAGATAGGTGGAGAGGGAGAGGGAGACAGAGAGGAGTTAAGTACATGCTCACCAGAGTACGGCAGAACCCGGCAGAACTGGAGCCTCCTAAGAGAGCTAAGGATAATTCAACCTCTCCTCATTAGCAATTGTGTGACCTTGAGGAAAGGACAGGTCTGCCTAAGCTGGTATGGGTCCACGATGTACAAAATAGGACAAAGCAGGTACTCCCCCAGTCATTGTACAGACCCATAGATAAGACTTAGACAAAGCAATGACTAATGGCCAGAAGCATGCCAAGCCCCCCTGCAATGGTAATGGCTGCTTTAAGAAAGAGCGACTCCCTTTTGCATTGCATCCTGTATATTATCTAAAGCCCGCTCCCTCTACACAGTTGACAGCCAGCATGGTCTTCAAGTCAGGACTCTTTGACAAAGCTTGCTGATGTCTTAAAATTCAACCTTCTTCCAGAAGTCTTGTTAAGAATATCAGGGACAGACTTGAAGAATACCGGGTTCACACCCTCTGGGGAATGGTGAGGGAGCTCTTGTCCTGGGGATGGCTCCCTGGCAAGTGCATTTTCACACAGAGCTCCCCTTGCCCGGAGCCATCTTGATTTATCAGACAGCCCTGTGCTCACAGACCTCATGGATGGAGGGATGGCGCTTTTCTCTGCTCCATTTCCTTGAGTAAAGAGCAGGGCTCAGCCCATTGCTGATGTTGATAAATAGCCACTCACAGGCCCAATTAAAAACGACCGCAAGCAGAAGGCTTTAGATATGGAGCCAGGCTGGCATAGAGCCTCAGCCTCTAAAAGTCAGATGCCTTGCTGGGTCCCAGCACAGCTCATGGTTTGTGCATTTCCTGTAGGAAGCCCTGCAGGGAATGAGCATGTGTCTCTGCTGTCAGGTCTCTGCAGCGACCTTCCAGCTCATGAATCCTGAAATGAACCTCAGACGTCTCTTTCCGGGTTTCCAATTGCCCCTCTGGCACACACAGGCCTTCTAATAGAAGCCTGTGATGACTGTTGGATTCTCAACTTGAATTTCCCAATGCGGTGCCTCTGTGGTCTGCAGTGATCCTTGCCATATACCCTACAGCTGCCGTGTGCTGAGGGCATGCCTGGCCACAGGGCAGGGACTGGAGGCAGAGGGCTCCTTTGTGCTCCAGGAGGACCCTCAGAAGCACATGGCTTGGTGAAACAGAGTCATATAGCCGGCAGCAGTGTAAAAGAGTCAAATGAAGGATCTGGGGGTGGGGGACAGCCAGGTGATGACCTGCATGAAAAGGGACGTAACCTCATCAGAAAGATTCAGGCTGACTCTTAAGGCTGAGCCAACCACACTGCTTTCTGAAAAGAAAACAACGAGGAGGGGGAGCAGAGCATTCTGCTTGGTTGGCTAAACACGCAGAGATTAGAAGGGACCAGGAGGGTTAGAAAAGATACAAATGTAGCGAGGCTCAGGTAACTGCAATAGCAGGTACAGCCAGAGGCTTGAGTTGAATGCTTCGAGTGTTAGGGGTAGGAAGTCCCACCACCTCCAGTCTTGCTTTGTGGCTGAAGTCGTCACATAGCTGTGGGCCTGTCTAGAAATACCAGAATGTGCCACATTTGCTCTAAGTGAGAGAAGAGACGGAGAAGCTCGCGGTGACCCAGTTGGCTGCTGCATCTTCTGCAGGGTAGAGATGGGGTCTGGCTTAAGCATCTGGAGGAATCTGGCTGGTGTGAGAAGGTGGCTACGTCAGGAAGGGCCTCTGGGTGCCAAGCTGCGGGCCTCAAGCTCCTGCCAGCGATGCTCTGGGAGAAACACTCTATTTTCCTCCCACCAAGTGAGTACACACGCCATAAAACAAACCCTCTCCCCTGGCTGGGAATGAGGAGCCAACCAATGTGCCTTCTGTAAAGCAACCATCATCCCCAGTTCCCACACACGTCCTTTTCCTGAGGGCTGGGCAGAGTCACAGTCACAGTTGACACCAGGCTCAAGGTCAGCTTGTGGAAGGTTGAGTACAGACCGCAGGCTCCTTGTTATTGCTCCAAAGAGGGCTTTGTACTCCTCTGCATTGGTGATGACTTGGTGACAGACCCAATGACGCCACCAGCGGTTGTTCCCAGAACAGTCTCTGGAAGACACTGTCATTATGAGGTGATGGTTTGATCTTGAGGGAGCTGCTGGCTGTTTTCCTCAGATGGCTACAAACCTGAGGGCCTGTCTCCAATGGCAGCAGAGGGCTGTGCTCTTAGATGCAAAACTTACAGGGAGGCCCTGCTGAAAGAATCACGTTTTCTAGAACTGGATCAGCGTCCTGAGGGCCTACTGGGTGCTGCTTAAGAGCCCCTCTCATGTTCAAGGCACCCAACAGAGCACTTTGCCACCCCTGAGGGGAACCCAGACACCACTTAAAGCAAAATCTCCTGAGACCTTCCATTTCCTAATTTATTTTTGATCTAAAAAAAAAATGAGATGGGGAAACTGGTTCATGGTGTAGCTGGCAGAAAATATGTTATCTGTCACGTTCAGATAGGCCGCCCTCCCGTTACTTAGGTTACAAGATTCTATCTCCTAAATAAGGTCAATCCTGCAGGGGAGATTGCATGGGCAGTGCTGGTCTGCAGAGAGAGGCACATGGAAACCGGGGCACTATCGCTGGGCAGGAGGCTGATGAGTCACCTCGATAGAAACACAATTGCTCACTGGAACTCCCACAAATGGAGTTTGGAAAACAGATTAACTGCCTGGGTCATTGTCTGGGGCAGAGGCAGGAGCCTGCTCAGCTGCCTCCCTGGGGCTTCCGGCTCTACTCTGCTCCTGGGGGTGGAGTTGTATTCTATCTTAGGGAGAGAGAGAGGACTCTGGCTTTGACAGCTCTGCTGTAGGTCTGAAGGTTAACGGTAATTCCTTTCCTTAAAATGCTGAGCCTCATCTCTCTAAGTTCAGGGTCAGAGTAGCAGCAACGAAGCCAGGGGAGCTGCTCCAACTGCATGGTTAAGAGCTTCTGGTGCAGGACTTGAGGGCTGTGCACTCCCCTCCAACCCTGACAGATAGCTAACACACAGGCCCTTGATTCTGTATTCAGGGTCTAGGTATCCAGGGACGAGCGTCTTAGTCACTCACAATCCTTGCCTTTCCTCCTAGATGTTGAGCATCTATGATAGAGACAGCAGGACTTCACCTAGGCCATCAAGGTCAAGTTGTTCCTCTCGGGAACATGGTGCTGTTCAGCAGCTGAACCCCATTCGTTGGTACCGGTATTCATGTGAGCTTTCCTACGTGATTTTGGTCGCTTTAAACAACAAGAAGTAGAACTTCCTCTAAAAGAATTGCTCTTTTAGGAGGAAGCCTTCTCTGGCCATCCAATCCTAGGCTTCCTGCTTTACTCAAGTCCCACACTGGCTTTTCACCCCTCAAAGATCAGCACAGCGTTTACTTGGGCATCTTCTGTAGTCCAGTCTCTGTTCTGCTGTAGTCCAGTCTCTGTTCTGCTGTAGTCCAGTCTCTGTTCTGCTGTAGTCCAGTCTCTGTTCTGCTGTAGTCCAGTCTCTGTTCTGCTGTAGTCCAGTCTCTGTTCTGCTGTAGTCCAGTCTCTGTTCTGCTGTAGTCCAGTCTCTGTTCTGCTGTAGTCCAGTCTCTGTTCTGCTGTAGTCCAGTCTCTGTTCTGCTGTAGTCCAGTCTCTGTTCTGCTGTAGTCCAGTCTCTGTTCTGCTGTAGTCCAGTCTCTGTTCTGCTGTAGTCCAGTCTCTGTTCTGCTGTAGTCCAGTCTCTGTTCTGCTGTAGTCCAGTCTCTGTTCTGCTGTAGTCCAGTCTCTGTTCTGCTGTAGTCCAGTCTCTGTTCTGCTGTAGTCCAGTCTCTGTTCTGCTGTAGTCCAGTCTCTGTTCTGCTGTAGTCCAGTCTCTGTTCTGCTGTAGTCCAGTCTCTGTTCTGCTGTAGTCCAGTCTCTGTTCTGCTGTAGTCCAGTCTCTGTTCTGCTGTAGTCCAGTCTCTGTTCTGCTGTAGTCCAGTCTCTGTTCTGCTGTAGTCCAGTCTCTGTTCTGCTGTAGTCCAGTCTCTGTTCTGCTGTAGTCCAGTCTCTGTTCTGCTGTAGTCCAGTCTCTGTTCTGCTGTAGTCCAGTCTCTGTTCTGCTGTAGTCCAGTCTCTGTTCTGCTGTAGTCCAGTCTCTGTTCTGCTGTAGTCCAGTCTCTGTTCTGCTGTAGTCCAGTCTCTGTTCTGCTGTAGTCCAGTCTCTGTTCTGCTGTAGTCCAGTCTCTGTTCTGCTGTAGTCCAGTCTCTGTTCTGCTGTAGTCCAGTCTCTGTTCTGCTGTAGTCCAGTCTCTGTTCTGCTGTAGTCCAGTCTCTGTTCTGCTGTAGTCCAGTCTCTGTTCTGCTGTAGTCCAGTCTCTGTTCTGCT